GATTCTCATGAATCTTAGGTCGTCCAAACAGTAAATTTTTGGACGTGTCCGCGTCTATGATGTAACAAGTCACTTCAGACTTGAGATCTCTAATCTGACACTTGAGTTTGATTTTTTCCAATGGTCGTGTATTGTTGGCATTGAAGCCAAAGATAGTGGTTTGGATGGAGTTCAATCGATGCAGAGGAATCTCAAGGACTTGCATGATCCTGTATGGCATGATACTCAGCAATGAACCTGGGTCAACTTGGACTCGACTGATCTCAGAAGACCCAATATACCATGTATAGTACAAGGGTCTATCATGCTTATGCTTGATTTGTATATCTTCCTCAGTAAATGATATGCAATGCAGACTTTTGACAACTTGCAAGCATTGTTCACAAGAAGGTTGTTTTGTAGCTTTTGAGACTACAGGAACTTGTTATGAAGCTCTCTGTATCTATTAAAGCTTCGATCTTCTTGTGGATTTGGATAGCCTTAAGAGCTCATAAAGAGTGATTCTGGCAGGAATGTTGATCAATTGCGCCATAACATCAAAACGGAAAGATCTACCGTGTTCCCCGGTTTCTTGCTGAAGAAGGTTCTTGTTGTAGCGAGCCTCCCTCTGCTTTCCCTTGTTAGTTGCTTTCTTGGGGATAGAACCCCTAGCCTCTTCAGCATGTTCTCCTGCTTCTTGAGCAGTTTTATCATACTTCTTCAAGTATGCCTTCCCCAACCTGGTGCCTACTCTCGAATTTTCCTCTTGGTCGACGGCAAGAGCAGTCCTCTTCTCTTCTGAGTTAGTAAGAGGGGTCAGATGTGTATTATCCTTATCTAGAGAGGGGCTAATCATGTAGGAAGATTTAACCTTGTTTCTCTTTTTCTTTCATGACGCACTTGACCACTGTTGATCTTCAAGCAAGTCAAGATGGACCCATATTATCTCTCCTTTCGGAGTGGTAAGGGGTACCAATTCTTTATCTTTCTGACCATGCGAGTCAGTGTTTGTTAGGTATAGCTCTCCCTTGGGAATAGGGATGAACCCGTTGGGAGCCAAAACATGTGAAAAATCCCCAAACTGGACCGATATCATATTGGTAGATATGATCTTCTGTTCCGGCTTCAGCTTGAGCACTTCGGCATCAACCAATGCCTGCAAGATATCTTTAAAGATATAGCATCTCTTTGTTTGATTCCCAAGCATTCTGTGATAGAGGCAATAGTTAGGATCATCTACTTTTCACACCTCTTCAAGAAGCTTCAACTTGTTATTCTTCTGAAGTAACTTGTCACATGATCATCCATGAAAGGGTATTGTTTGGCTGCTATTGGTTGACTTGATACCTTGCCCTGCTTAGCAGGTGACGCTCAAGTATTAGTATCAGTAGCCAGGGTATCTTTTCCCTTTGATCGGGAAGCATTACCTTGACCATATTGCACCGGTGGTTTTTGTTTATTTGTCTCTTCAGCTTTGATCCGGACAATAATTTCTTCCACTTGTTCTCCTTGGGAGACCAGCTATTTCCAGGAATGGCACTCTGTGATCCTTATTTGAGCTAGGAGATTGGTCTGCATATTATGCCAACAGATTTTCACTAGAGTAGCATATATCATACCCGAAGGGCATTACAGAGCCATGCTTTAGAATCTTTCGATGAAGTCTTTAATAGACTCTTCCTTCTTCTGCTTGGTGGCAAGAATGGTAGGGATGAGGACTTTTGTGTCATCTTCGAAGAACCTGGTCAAAAATTGCCTTTCTAAATCCGCCCACTTCTGAATAGATTCGGCAGGAAGTATCATTTGATATCACATTCCTAGTCTGTGATTTAAAATAGTAGATATGTTGGTTCGGTGATCCTGTGTCATCAAAAACTTGCAGAGTCGGGGCTTTAAATTTGGGAGTATAAGGGGTTGCATCCCATTCAGTGGGATAAAGCCTCACAAATCCTTCCTCTTAGAGCTCGCTTCTGTTGTTAATGGTATTGAGGTTGGCTTCCAATTCTTCCATCTTGATCGATTGAGGATTCTATTCATTGTCGATCTCTTTCTCCTCCTCAAAGGAAGATTCTACGTGATGGGTTTCTTGATCAGGAATCTCAGTCATTTTTTCCTTCCCTTTGCTGAAGATGATCATCCTCATCGGGAAAATTTGTGCCGATGTGGCGAATCTGCTTTTGAAGACTTGATCCTGTCTGCAATAATCTAAGTCATTAAGATCTGAAGCTCATTGATGGTCTCTTGCTAATATCTGAGCATGGCATGCAACTCATCGAGTATCTTCATGAGATCTTCAGGATTCTCTGCCATGTAAGAGGAACTCTCATGTTCAACGAAAGAACTAGAGGATTAGGACTCCGCAATGACTGAATGTTCATCATCAAAATTTGTTCCTCTAGCTAATCTCCAATAATCGATAGGGGCAATGACTCTTGTTTGAGTCCGAGTGTGTTGGTAGATTCTTTCGAACTCATTCAAGATTTCTTTGATTCTTGGAGAACGATTGGTCTCTGATTCATTGGAACTAGGGATTGGTGACTTCCCTCTACTGACTATATTGATAGTAACTCTAAGATATTCATCCTCTAGAGTTCTCTTCTTGTAGGAACGTCATCACTTGTTGGTAAAGGCAACGTTCGTCAGTCGGTCAAACACCGACATTCTTGGTGTAGGTGCACAGTATTGGCACCCTGAGAAGACCACAAGAATCAGTCATTCACATTGACATGAGTGAGTGATTTGTTGTATGGGTCTTTTCTCTTAGTATGAGCTCTCTTAAGTCGGAGACTTGAGAATAATTCCTCACTGAACGTGAGTTTTGAGTTGGAACCCCCTGTCTACTATTAGATAGGACTGGCTCCTGGTGAACATGAATTTTAAATCCACGTTGGTCCTTTTGAATGTGATGTATCATATTGCGTTTTATATTAGGAACGTGAGGGTCACGTTTAAGAAAGGGAACGCAAGGGTCGTGTTTTGCTTGAGGAACGCGAAGGTCACGTTTTAATTGATCAATGCGGGCTTGAGGTCCGCGTTCTGAAACACTCTCTTGAGGGTCGCGTTCAACCTAGCTTGCACGAGACTCGTGCTTGGAAACATAAACGTGAGACTCGCGTTCTAAAAAAGAAACGCAGGGCTCGTGTTGAGGCTCACAAATACGAAGCTCTCGTTGATTGAAAGATCGGCTTTATCGAAGTTGTGCTAATCGTAGGGATCTCCTCTTTCATTGAACAACGTTCTTCTTAGCGTGTTTCAATACTTTTGCAGCGTCACTATCTGTATTGATCAAGTTTGTCGCTGTAATGGGCCTTTTGTGACCCAATACCGATTGTTTAGGCATGGGCGTAGAATATTCTACTCAATTGACGAGTTTAGCTGAAGCTAAGCCTTCTTCTTTAGAGGAGAGGTTGTCCAAGCAGTCTAGTCCAAGGTAGAGATCCCCCTTTGGTGAGTCATGCAAAATTGGAGCTTTGGTCTCCTTAGAGACTTTGTGAATCTTACGCATAGACTTGGTGCTAAGGAATCTGGAGGAAAGCAATTCCTCATACTTGGCTTGATCGAACTCCACCATTAGAGTTTTGACCGTCGTTCTAGCGAGGTTAATATCGGATTGCGCCACCACTTCTTTATCCATAAAAAAACTAGTTCCCAGCAGAGTCGTCATCTTTTGTTTGTTGAAAAATTGTAAGAAAATTAAGAATAAAATTTGTATTAATCTCCTTAACTGATTTAGAAAAAGAATGAATATAATCTCTCATAGTAATCTCTCTCTAACTAAGAAAAAGAAATTATAATTTTCTCTTATCGGTTTACGAATTTACAAAAGAGAGAAGGAATCGACGGAGAACATTCTCTTTGTTTAAACTTGGGTTCTTCTTGGTAGCGATGGAAGTTTGAATCTTGTATCCATTGACAATCTGAGCACTTAACTTCGTGGAACGTTAATTTATTTCTCTTGACGTGACGTTGGGAAGAACTTGCGAGGCAAGTTTAAAAATCTTAACGAGTTAAGAACTCTAAATGAGTTTAAAACTCTGTAAAAGAGTTGATTTCAGAAATGAAATTAATCCTTTTTAACTTAATCGAAATGGTTCACAAGCCAAAGCTAAAGCTCCAAGAACAGCTCTTAACAATGCTCCAAAGAACCGACCCTTTTTCTTCCTGCTTTTCCAGCAGACTTTTCAGCTATTTATAAGGATTTAAGGGGTGTAACTGACCCCTTCAATCGCTCCTTAATGAGGGTTTAATGACCTTAATTCGTGAAAAATTGTTTTAGTACCTTTTAAAACGTGTTTGAATCAGTCAAACGCGAGATTCACGTTCTGGAAATGACCCTCGCGTTTAGAACTAAAAACACGGTAACAAGCTCCGCGTTTTGAACTTGATACGTGGTAGTGAACTCTGTGTTTTGAGCTTGGAACGCGGTGATGAGCTCCGCATTTTGAGATTGGAACGCACTGATGAGCTCCGCGTTTTGCTTTGAAGAAATCATCAACTTGTAATCTCTTCTGTTAGAGTGTTACAAAGATTGTCATGTAGTAATCTTAGCCTTTAGCACTTTGAGATGTGAGAGTCGTTAGTTTGTAACTCTCGTTTGTTATTGCGAAAGTTGTTAGATTGTAACTTCCATCATCAGTTGCTACAAGAATCGTCGAATTATAAATCTCATTGATTGATATAAAAGTCGTCAAATCGTAACCTCCATCATTCATATTTTGTGGGGATTAATTATCTAGTAATTTTTTGACAGCCTACACACGATAGAATTTATGTTGTTTTCGCTGTGCATTATCAATCCTATTACATACGTGTAATTATTCAAATCTGACAAGATAAAACACTAAAAATCAAAGAATATCATATGAAAAAGTTTTGCAATTCATGTCGAACAGTAATTAGAGATTCCAGTAATACCGTTTGGCTATCAAGAAAGATGAAAAGTGCATCTCACCACAGCATCAAAGAGAATGTTTGGACCTACACGTTAATAACCAAGAGGTAATATAACACAACATGATCCGTTAATTCTAAATATATGTTCATGTTTTGGATGATTCAATATGTACATTGCACATCTCTTGCTATAAGCTAAGAGCATTAAGAAGAGAGACTCTATTTTGTATCAATTTCCTAAACAATAACTCTAGTCCATCCTCAATCCCTTCAATGCTTCCCTCTAACTTCCTCAAATGCTCTTGATCTTCGCCTTCATCCTTTGAGACTAAACCCCACCTCAATCTCGGCCTTGGCGTCACCAAAATCATGCCCACTAACGATCTGAATATAGCAACCACAATCTCCTTCACTTCAACCAAAGTTCTATCAACCATCATCAAATCCCAATCCTTAACAAAACTCGAGCAAGTACCACTTTCAACCTGCTTCAACAACTTTAAGCACATTTTAGTTTCCCCTTGCAACTTCTTTTGTGATATGTCACAAGAATTGCTTCCTTTTCTTCTGATCGTCGACCGGAGATCTCGAACATGGTCATGCATCAAACCCATTAAATCTTTTGTGGAAGAAGTCAAGTCTAGTAGCTTGATGGAGTTATCGAGTTGGTCGTCTACCCATTTCTTGTGATTAGAATGGAAGCAAAGGAGGTCATCAATGGACTTGTACAAGCTTGCTACCTCTTTTAATGCATCGCATAGAATTTGGGCATTTGGAGGAGAGGAAGAGGTTAAGGTTGATTTGAGACCGTGGAGGTTTTTTTCAAGTTTGAGTATAGTAGGGTGAGGGATTGGGGGGTCACTGGTTGTTCTTGAATGGCTTGGTTTGTGATGATGTATTAGAGCGAAGCCTGTCATCTTCTTCAGTGAGTGATTTTGAGAGTTTGAGAATTTGTGGGTTTTGATTCTTGCTAGCATATAGTTCTTATAAATAAGGTAGAGAGGGGAGACGTGGTTAGCGCCGCGGAGAGAAGCGCAGACACCAAGAATCATGCCATCTGTCATCTCAATGGCTTCAAGGGGAAAACTGTCGACTCTGGTTGTTATGAGGTTAATATTTTTTAAATACTCATCGAAAAATAAAGGTAAATGTCACAAAACCCCTTAAATCTGTGGGTTATTCGCCACAAAAACCTTCCAAACTTTTTTCCTCACTAACCCTACGCTATCTCTCCAAATTTCACAAGATCCGACGGTATTAAAAAAATTTGAGGGTTTCATGGAACTAGCTTGTCGTATTGAACTAGTTAGTTTCCATGAAATCCTCAGATTTTTATACTTGAGCTATGATATCCATTCGGAGTTAGTTGCAACTATTTGTGTGTGTTAAGGGTTCTTGAACCACAATTATCTTTTTAAAATTGAATGGATCGGGTGAGAGTCATCTTCAAATTTTAACTTTTTGAATTTTCATAATTTTTAATATTAAAATTAGGATTCAGTAATAATAAATGAGATTTGTAACTAACAGATCGGGAGCTCCGACCTCAACTTGGGTCCCAGAAAAAAAAGAAGTTCAGAATTTCATGAGAAAAATTAGAGGCTCACGGGAAAAGTTGGGGAGTTCAGTGCCAAAAACAAAGTTTTAAGGGGTTTTGCTGGAATTGTTATTTTGAAAACTAAACAATACTTGGACCGAAGATTTGGAGATCAGGCTGCAATTAATTGGCTCGTAGCCAGCAGTTTCTTGGAAAAGGTGGTGCTTGTCTTGGTTGTTTTCTTGGAGGAGCAAAATGAGCTGGATCCATTTGAGAAGTAAACGGTTGTTGGAGCCGTCTCCGATAATATTTAGCCTGCTGAATTTGCCACGAAGCATCCCAAGGAAACGTTTTTCAAAGTAGAAAGATCTAGAGAGTGTGATCGTGCGGGTTCAGGACCCAAGGAGTGGAGTTTACATTTACAGCTAGCTATTGAGTATTCTCCTTGTTCGTCCGTCCACAGGCAGGAGCACCGACTTGCTTCTGTGGGTTGTTTGTGGGCGACCAAATCGATCAGTGATCACTGTTCATCGATCTTTGTCCACACGAGCTAGCTAGTGTACTTTTTAGTACATCTTGAGCACGCAGAGAATAAGGATATATGTTTAGTTTTCCTTAGTACGTAACGGTGTCTAGAAAATTTGTCAATTAGAGCAAACATACACATGACAGGATTACATCTTGAGAAAGTAATCCTCTTAACTTAAAAATGTCACAAATTAAGCTCCTTTAAGTATAGTTGATCTACAGATAATCCTTCTAATTAACTTTAAGAATATCACTTAACCCCCCTTAATTTTTTTTAACCCCTTTCATTTAGTAACCGAGTGAGAATGAAGGTTAATTGATTCCCAAAAAGTGCAGTCAGTTCGATAAGATAACACTGCTTAACTATTTTAATTAATTTTACAAAACACTCGTAACTATCCCCCGAAAATTTCTTCTATTCCACTAAATAAGGTGTTGAAGTATGTTGTTCAATTTAAACCTCAAAAATAACATCATCAGATCTGGCCTCACGACAAAGCAATTGACCAAAAAAGCAAAAATATGCCACAGTACTCTTAGAACCATAATGGAACAGAAAGGTAGCATTTCCGGGTTAAAATACGTATTTTCATCTTTTACGATCACTTGCTCAGTCGGACTAAATGATGTTAAACTTTTGAAGTGCAGAAGCTTTCAAGGAATATGTATAGGGGAATAGAAGACGTTCAAAGGGGTTTTGTGTAAGGAAAAAAGAGTTAAGGGGGTCATCTCAGAAACAACCAAACTTAAGGCGGGGAATTGTGAAATTCACTCTAATAAAATTTGTGAGGACGTTAATCTACGACCAAGACTGGGGAGGTTTCTCACACAACGTCAGCTGCCTACCTTAGAAAATATTTATCCCTGTCCGGATTCCTCTTCACTTAAATATATATTAAGATCTCCCATACTACCGACAGAAGCAAGTCAGTGCTGCCCTATGGGCGAACAAACTAATTAAAAACATAGCCAGCTTAAGATAATTGTAGCGCATAATTGTCTATACTCCTTCGGCCATCAACCCCCACGATCGCTTCCCCTCTTCATCCTCTCCTTCGTTTTCCTTCTCTGCGTTCTCAGTAAAATTCAGTGACTGGAGCTACCAAATAGATCGTATACATCCTCTGGATCCAGCTAATCTCATACGTACCTAATTATCGACCTTTTCCAAGAAGCTACTGGCCAATGGCCAGGTGGCACCCTCTCCAACATTCAAAACCTAGCAAAAGAACTATTTTATGGATACTGATCTGAGAACCATCTATTTTCTAATCATATATCCATTGAACGATGGCTTCATGATTAATCTCGTGTACAAAGTCGTACGCATCAAGTGCAGATGACATGTGGCGGTG